GGGTAGGCAACGCGGCCGCACGCATACGGGGCGCGGTGCCTACCTCCGGGCGGCCGCCGCCTGAGCGGGCGAGCGGGATAGCAGGGAGGTCTCGGGGAGCACGGGGGGTTTTCATTGCCATTACGATCATGAGGGCTGAATTATGGAGTTTGACTTTTCAGAATCTTGTCAGAAATAAGGAATAATCGTCACAGGCAACACAGACTGGCCTGGCCGTTGTCTGGCCGGCAAAAATAAAAAAAAAAATCAGCGTGGCAGCGTGTCAATTGACTCACAGCAGTGCCGTGTAGAGCAGGTGCCCCCTCTCCTCCCGGCGAGCCCGACGACGGGGGGCATCCTGCATTTTCACGACTCGTCATATACCGCCATTTTCACTCATTACCATTAGTCCTGATCGTGGACCGAAAAAAAAATTCACCATCAAACCAATACCACGGCCAAAACAATTGCCGCATCCGGTACCCTCCCCTTTCCCCACCTCCTCCCGACCCGTGCGATCTGCAACAGTTAGACCTCTAATCCTAATTGTCATCCTCATGGTGATTGCCTTGTAGTCGCCAGGCCAAGCCGGGCTCGAGCCCCGGCACTCTTCACACCTCACTTATCGCACACTGCAATTTTTCTCTTACAGAGATATTAAAATTGAGGTCAAATTAATGGGAATGGGATGGGGGGGGGGATCCCGCCTTCCGATTGGAAATCCTTGACTTGCCAACGCCTTCAGTGATCCTCAAAGAGATTTGAGATTAATTGAGATGAATCGAACACGTGCACGCCGGCCTCGCCACCGCCGTGGAAGCCGGAATGAATGCAGGCGGCGCTGACTAACAGGTTGGGTGCGGCGTGACCACTAAGTGGCCACGCTGAGGGGAGGATGGGTCGATTCCTCCTCCACACCTTCCCGAGCAACCGCGAGCACAACAAGTACCACCACCACCACCACTTCCCTCATTTTCTCCCGTTCTATACTATACTTCCGGTTTTAAGCAGCAGCAGCACATGCAGCGCTGAGGCTGCCGAACACTTTTCTCGCGACGCGCTGCTCGTCCGGCGGCCGGTGGTGCCTTCTTGATTTACAGACCAGAGCGCACCGAGTGGCAGGAGGGGGCGCCGTCAAGCGGCCGACGAGATTTACAGACGGGCGGCACACTGTTGTTGATTTTCACCGGCTTTGCGCAGGAAACGGACGGACGGACGGACGGCGGCATGCGGTGGTATCGCAGGCGGCCGTTGCGATCTCCTTGGCCGAGGTTACTAGCTCAAGCTCGCCTCCTCCGCTCGCCGCCGCCGCACTCCAGTAGTAGTAAGAGACTTTGGAGTTGTTATTATTTTTACACCGCGCGCGGCGAGCGGAATGGGTTTTCTAATATTCCCCCCGAGCACTCTGTGCGAAAGTGTGTCGGATCATAAATGGGGGGGGGGGGAGGAGGTGGAGGTAAAAAATGAAAACAGCAAAAGTGTTTTCGCGGGGCGGGAACACGACAAGATCTTCCGGAAAGAAGGCTGTGGCGGTATATGGTACGGGGGGCCGTCTGTGTTCACAGTGCACCCATTGCAATTATCACTGGTCGCAAAGCCAGGAGGACGGGGCCCGACGCGCCGGAGGGGATGGTGGTTGGTGGTGTGTGTGAGGCGCTTGCGCCATCCGCACAGTACCCGCGCGCAGCACACAGAGAACACAAGGGATCCGTCCGTCCGCCCGTCCAGCTGCCCCGCCGCCCGCCCGTCTGTCTGTCCGTGATAAAGCGGGGTCTTATCTCGAGATGAGATGTGTCTATAAATCAGAGCCGGCGCCAGGTAGGCGTTGCGCCAGCGGGCTCCGAGGCGCTGCGTATGAGGAGCTTCGGCGGCACCGGCAGGGCACTGG